AAGGGTTAAATTGCATAATAATTTCAAAAAATTGAGGCTATACAGAATAAAACTGATGACAACGTGGTTCGTAAATTTCAACGTCATACTATTCGTGTCATTTTGAACCTAAAATTCGATTGCTCGGTATTCCTAATAGCAAGAGCTAGATACTCTCACTAAGGACCACTGCGTCGATCCGCGCTTTGTTTGGATCCATTATTCCCGGGCAACACCGGGTTCTGGGCTGACCCGGTTAATCGATCGAGCGGAGTCTGAAATTTGATGGGCTCGCGAGGATAGGTTCTTCGCGGGCACGCGATGAATCAAGCGGAGGTTTCGGCTGCGAGCAACAGTTGGACTGTCCGCCGCGCGAGCGAGAGGAGCGAGCTTCTTTATTTTGTATTCAGATCGGAACACGCCGGGATGGGTTATAGCGGCGCGAGCACGCGCTGCGCGCATGCCGTACGCAGATAATCGCGGTCGCGCTCCAGAAGCTTTTTCTGACCCGACACCCGATGCCCACGATTAATCGCGGAGACGGCCTCGGAATGGAAAATCAGCCGACTATGCTGCTTTTGGGTCTGACGAGAGGTAACAATGGGACACCTGGTTACTAATGACTCGATGATTTGCTTCGAGGATTGCTTCTTCAACCCTTCGCCGACGAAGACTCTTCGAAATACAGTAAACTTGCAACATATGAAGCTAACTGTCGAATGCTTAACCCATTCGAGACGGCAATTTCGAAATTCTGTCATGGGGATTTCCAATTAAGTTTTTTAAAATCTCTAGACGATAGTCATAAAAACTCAATTTTCTTGTTGTTGGTGAGTATGTTTATTTTGTTTTTCTATACTTTACAGATACTATTAATTCAAAAAAATCTCGACGACTACTTTACTCAGAATAACTGATAAATGCTCATTATTATTATTGCGCACACGGTGTGCAACCGATCTTATAGCCTCGGAAATCAATTGCAATCGGTCTCGAATGGGTTAAAGGATAGAAAAAGGGGAGCTACACTCTGATTTCTTACTGTTCGAGTAATTAGATCATTCGTTTGCAACCTACTATTCCAAATATGAACACCTCATCTTGAAATTTCGACGTTCGACTGCAATTAATCCTTCAGCCGTGAAGCTTTCGTAAGTTCTTTTTAAATTAAAAAAAGATTGAGATGTCTGATACTCGATCAACTGACCTAATAATTCATTTACTCGAAATAACGCGACTTTCTTCCAAGACAATCGGTAAAACGTGTATCCGTTAATCAACGAACAATGTCTACCCAGCTTCGAATGCAAACCTCTCAGACCAGTGAATAAAGGTAGTTAACTTTCTAAATCGAAGTAAAGGTTCGGTCGTCAATATTCCTCGAACGAGCCATTGAAAGAAGGTGAACCAGACCTAGACGTGAATGAAAACATTAAGACTACCATTGTCAAGAGTAATTGTTTTTCCCGCGGAAGTCGAAGCGGACTGGTTCAGCCAGCAGAATCCAACGAAACAACGGCGAGTATGAATTAACGGGACCGCTTGGCGACTTTCTTGCGTCCCGGCTATTCTGCCACGCGAGCGTAGCGTGAAACGGGCGCGTACGCCCGATAAGGGAAAATTCCTGACTCACCTCTGCGAGTGTTTCCTCCTTGGTGACGTCTCCATTCTTGGGCGCTTCGTCGCGGGCTGGCTTATTCTTGTCCTTCTTGCTGAAGCTGATCGACCTGAAGGACCACTTTTTCTTCATCTATGAACGAGGAAACGGCATCGATAATGATCGTAAGGACCCTCGTTACGCGCTCAACTACTTGTTGTCTTATTCTAGTAAGGCGCGTGCTCGCGGAGAGCGCTGCTCGCTCGGTTTACGCTAGAACTGCCGGACAGGTCAACGAGACGTATACTTGATGTCTTCGTTTGGGATTATTGAGAACGGATAATTTAGAAGTTAGTATGGAAAGTTTATAGGTGGAGCGAATTGTAAATTGAGACTTTAACCCTTTGCGGACGAGAGACACTTCGAGATGAGATGTTCATGTTTCGAAGATTAACACTAGAACGAGTTAGAACGATTGATATGTAATGCCTATTAATTTATATAAGATAAGCGATCGCGTTAGTTAAAAATATCGTTAATATTTAGTCAGAAGGTAATGAATATTTGTAATGAAAATTGTCGAGTGCAAAGGGTTAATAGATGCAAACTTGAGTTTTCCGACACTCCGGCAGTTCTAGGGTTCAATCTGCAACCGTACATGCCACGAATGTGAAACTGATGGATCTTATGTTGTTTTCTCAGTTAGACGCTTGGTAACTGTTGGTTGATGTCAGTGTTACTGAGAAGGAATATTATCAACTATAAGAACTTGTAGGATACACAGATTTTTGTTAAAATGTGTATGGAAAATATTGCATATTTTAATATTTTCCATTAGAAAATATTCTGTACTGTATCCTTCCAACGCGTTACATCGTTGAATAGAATGATTGCTAAGGTTACTGAGAAGGAATATTATCATCAACTAATTTCTGTTAAAATGTGTATCGAAAGTATTGGATATTTGAATATTCTCCACTAGAAAATATTCTGTACTGTATCCTTCCAACGCGTTACATCGTTGAATAGAATGATTGCTAAGGTTACTGAGAAGGAATATCATCAACTATAAGAACGTATAGGATACACAAATTTTGTTAAAATGTGTATCGAAAGTATTGCATATTCTAATATTTTAGAAAATATTCTGTACTGTATCCTTCCAAGGTGTTACATCGTCGAATAGAATGCTAAGGGAGTGAGTTGCCCAACCACACCTTCATACCTCGCCAAACGACAAACTCGACACTGACACAGATTCGTCCATGAGACGTCCATTAAACGGGAATCGTTATATTCATTAAAATTCCATCTACCACGCAGCGACTATTTCGACACGAACGTCTCTCCCTCTCGATTTCCCTCACCTTCTCCTTCTTTTTGGTTTCCTTGCTGTCTGGCGAAGTGGCAGTGTTCGGACTGGCGGGGGTGGTCGCTTCTGTGGGTGTCGTGACCTCCGCCGTTTCCGCGGGCGATTCACCAGCCGACTCCTGCTTCGTCTCCTCAGCCTTTACCTCTTCTTGCTGAAACCATCAAACGAAACGCTGGTTTAACCCTCTGCCATCGGGAACTTTCCAAACTTCTAACTCTTTCCGAAAATTGGATTATATATTGCTTAAATAATAGCAAAAGCAGAAACTACATAATCATAATTAGTCTTCAAAATGAACGTTTCCTATCGAAATGACATTCCTCCGCAAAGGGTTAACCCTTTGAACTGTAGGCTCCAATATTGCACCAGTTATATCAAATATTTCAACGAATCAAAGAAACTACCCTAAAATCATTCGATTTTCCACATTGAGATTTACAGAGAAGGAAAATAAAAGATCGAAGAAAAATTACAGCATTTTTCATTTTCACCGGAGATACCATAAAAATTAGTCGCTGATAAATTACAAAACCATCCGGAGCGCCAAGGGTTAATGAAACCCATAAAATTTTCTACAAACCCTAAGTACCAGAACACTGGCAAATCGTCTCATCCTTTATCACGCGATTCAACAGCATTTTCCCTTCATCGGCGATAACTGTCGCCCGCGATACTGATAACATTGAAAGACAACATCGTCGCAGCGTTCAACGCGGCGTTAACTTCGCCCCTCAACTTGAAGAATTTGATTGCATTTAAATTCCTCCGCTGCAGGTTTCGATTTTAGCCGGGGAGCCTCGAAGTCACCGTTACGGCGCGACATCGGGCCGTGCGTCGAGAGGCCCGTGGAACTGGTTTCGAGAAGACGCGAGAGCCAAAGTGTCTTTCGTCGTCCTTTGTTCGCCGGGACAGGTGTATCAAAGTCGAGAAACTCTCTCAAAGGATTCGCCTTAAAGACGGGGAGTGGTCTTGTTTATCGCCGACTTCGATTCACTCCGCGTCAGTCGTAAACCGCGCGCGGATCGAAAACTGCTCCTCGCTCTGGCTCGCACGTTTTTCTTTTATTGGCTGACGCAACAACAACTGCTCCGGCCGCCTCTCGTCCCGGCCGAGGTACTTTTATTATTCATAAAACGAAAGGAGAGTTCCACGGACGCGGACCGAGTGCAACGAGCCCTCCCTCTTCCGCCGATGGCGCGAGCGAGAGGGAAAATGGAGCGCGAACTCCGCGACGGCGAATTAGGATTCGACGGTCGACCTTAACCCGAAGCTTGTTAACGGAAAAAGACCGGATTCTTTTAATCTCGCATTTCACGGCGCATTTGAATCTTACATTCTGTGATCCTGAATGTAATAGATTCAGATTGGAATGCGAATCTTACAATTTCCTGTCTCGCTGGTCGATATCGAGGAATATTCGAATTCCACCTGATACTGGTTAGTTTCAGTAATCAATACAATCTTCGCATTCTTCGTATTCGTGGATGTCGCGACGAATGATTAACCCTTTGCACTCGAGAGGTGACTCTCAGTGTTATATATCATATTAACACTAGGTTTACGGAACGCGTCAAATTTGACGCGGATTGAATTTTATGAACGTTATTTGGTGAATGTTCGGTTTTCGTTGATCGAATTACACGAATGTGAATCCTGATTGATTTCTACATCTACGATTTCCAAAGCTAAATGAACGAATATCAACTGCTCCAGGAACAATAGAATAAACTGTACAATAAATGTCTGTAAACCTAGTGTTAACACTAAAACTACCGAGCACTTCAACTGACTTTTGAAAATTTCGCTATAGAAACTCCAAGAGAGCATCTGTTCAGACTTTAATTGATTTACAATTGAATTTGCGTAGTGCTAAATGAATTTCTTTAATAATTTCTCAGAGAAACATTTGTTACCTTTCTAATGATTGAAAATTACAGATAGGATTCGAATCGAATGAGAGTAGAATTTTTGACTGTAAAACTGCTATGCTGGCTCAATTTGGTCCTATATTTTCAATTTCCAAGTGTAATATATGTAAGAGTGATCAAGCAATATTGTTTTCTATAATACACATATGCGCCGCACAAAATTAGTCACTCAATTAACTCGTGTCGTCGTCGATTTACAAACCGCAACAGATTACCAGGTTCTGCGCAGCGAAGATTAAAATCGGGTGCGAAGTACAATCGCTATTCCTTTTAACACTTCTGCCACGTAAACACTCATCAAAACTTCCATGTGCTCGAAACAGTTTTCCTCATTAACGAGAAACTGGGAAGTCGAGATTCTTAATAATTGCTCCACTTTCTTATATCTCATATATCCAACAAAATTCGGTTTGTTCTCTGCCTCTACCTGTTTTAACAATTTTTTCTATGTTTATTTGTAGCATCACAATTGTACCATTTAAGGTAACATTTCAATGACTCCCAAATATTCTTGAATAAATAAATAGTGTCATATTAACCTATAATTGAATGAACTAAAGTGAGTAACCAAGAGCACTTAGGACCGCAAAGAGTTGTCCAAGTTTCTATGAAAAATTCGAGTGACATGGGCGAACAATGGAAACCGAATATTTTCCAGGTGAAAATGCGGATCTTCTCGGAAAAGACGTGAAGATAACGGCGCTAACGTTTCCGCGCTGCGATTTCGTCATTGGACACGCCAGCCTAGGTTCGTTGCGGTCGGTTGCGTCACGTAGGCGAGCAGATTTTCAGCGAGCGTGTTCCCCAGGCAATTTTTCGTGAGAAAACGCCGGCGACGCGATCGCGGGAAGATCGAGAGAAAAAGCGGAGAAGCTCTCTCTTTCTCTTTCTCGTCGGCAGTAACAGTTGTGCCAGACTTATCCGAATAGGACAGCTGCGGCTCGCGATGGGACGGCGAAACCGCGAAAATCTCGGATTACAGAGGACGATCAGTGGTTCTCCGCGTCTGCCTGCAGAGGATTCTTTTCCTTTTTGGCTTTCCTTCGTTCCTTCGGTCGGAAAAATCACGCGTCGATCGTGGGTTAGCGATCATTCAACGGTAATTGAATCGGAGAAACTTTGTCTCCAAGTCCATCGTGGACACACTCTCTTGATGTTTGAGTAATCGAATCATTCGTCTGCGACTTTTCCAAATACGGAAATTTGATCTCGCCGAAATGACATTCGTCCGCAAAGGGTTAATCACTTGCTTCTATGAAAGACGATTCACTATAGAAAACTTTCAGCTTGGAAAAGCTGAAGTTCGAACATTGAATTATTAATTTTCTAAGGAAATCGTTTGGTTCTGAACACTTAACACTAGATTTACTATCGTTTATTGTAGTTTATTCCATTGTTTCCAGAAAAATGAATATTCCTTCGTTTAGATCTTGGAAATTAAAGTTGTTCTACAATAGACTGGTATAAATATTCACGCCATTGCATCGATCAAAATCGACGTAAGCACTTCACAAATGTTTGTCAAATTCATGCGTCAAATTGACGCAGTGTTAATTGAGAATTCAGACAGCAGATTAATTCTAAAAAGGATGATCTACGAAACCGACTGAGAATAAACGAAGAAAGAATAGAATCTAAAGAATAATCGTAACATAATTGGAAGATCGAGAGCGCGGTAATTCGCTCGCGAGAGAGCAAACACGTCGGACAGGCAGCCAACGTCATTATCGTTCGCGGGCGCTGTCACCGAGTCAATATTAACAAGAATAAAGAAGGGAAGCTCGCTCGCGTGTATGCGTCACGGGCGTCGCTCGATCGGATTGTAGTTCCGAGAGGCGGCGGTCCTAGTCATCGTCCCGTTGCCGAGCAAACAATCGGCGGACACGTTATCGCAGAATTATGCCGCGATGCGCCATAGATGATTATATTCCGCGGCACGCTCGGAATTAACCTTTAAAAGCTATCGTCGGAGAAGTCAGCCTTAATGTTATCATCGACGAAGTTTCCATCGCGCATTCCTCCGCTTTAGAAACGAAACGAGGAAAACAGCGGTTCAATGTTTCATTGTTACCGAACGAAAGCAGGAAAGTTACCGTTTATGTTCCGCGATAACATAGCCACCGCAAACCGAATTACCATAGGCTGCGCGTCTAACTACAACACGGAATTCCTGAAAGGAAATTTCGCCTTTCGGAACGAGTTATTTCGATTTCAATTTCAAACGAGAATCCAGCGAATTAATCGACGATTCTCATTTAAACGCCGGTCACCTTCATCGCCGATGCAAATGCGATTCGATCGGTGGGATTCTTCGAGCCGATTACAAATCGCCGGGTAATCGATCCATTTATTTATTTCGAAGAGAAGTTTATAATATAATAGATAAGGTGATAGGAGATGGAGAGTTATATTTGAAACTCGAAGTTTCATACGAGGAATGGCTTTCTAACGGAGCTAGGGGCTATTGAGATTTCCAGGGAATATGTAAAATCATTGGGAAACGTGGGAACTGATTTCCTTCGTGACGAGATCGGCCGATAACTCAAGTTCGAAGCACGCTGCGGACGAAGGCGCGCCTTTATTCCTGTTGCGCGCGGCGAGGAATCTTTCTGTTAGAGAGTCGCAGGGAACGCGCATTATATTATGTAAATATCCGGTTATTTTCGTTCTGGCCGGCCAGACGAGACGTCCGACCGTCTTGGATATCGCGGTATCGCGGCTGATACCGTGGACGGAGAGGAAACGAGGGGGGCGAACGCTCGCGGAGTCGCGAAACGAAGGGAAACGGGATTGCTCGGATGCCTCGGAGAGACGGTCTTGCGCAACATGTTAAATAATATTGGAAATACGCAGGAAAAAGTTCCTTCACCGAGGAGCTTCCGGTTATTGGATGAGTTTCGTCGAAGATAGACGAATGAGAATATAGATAGCAGTAACTGCTTTAACCCTTCGCACCTGATTCGACGCAGCGAACTTTCAAATTTTCAATTCAATATTACTTGTGTAATGTAACACATAAAACATCGGAGTAGAATAGTTCTGTCTCTTAATTTATAGAAGATAATCGATTGTGTCAGTTGCGAAAAATATCGTTAATATTTAGTTAGAAAGTAATGAATATTTTTAATGAAAAATACTGTTGAGTGCAAAGGGTTAATACATTTGTACATTCACCGAAAAATTTGTAAGAACTTTTTACTAATATCAATGTCGTATTAAATCG